TGTATATATATATATATCTGGATCTCGGTAGAGATACAAATTTGATAAGCAACAGCCAGAAGTAGTACCAGAGCTTTTTGGACAACACCAGTCCTTCCTCAGTAGAAATGTGTATTTTTACATGTGAATGTGTATTTTATGTGATTGTTATCGGCCTACTTAAATCAAAGTTTTATGACCCATAGATCGTTTTTAAGTCACTATGTAAATAATATTATACTTAAATTAATTAAAATGATTTAGATAGAAAAATTATAGAATGCATATACAGACAATGGTTTTGAGAACATCAACGGTATTAAGATCATAAATTTATATATATAGCGATGTTGTAATAGGCCTACTGTATTTAAATTAAAACGCATTTTACGACCCACGGACCGTTTTTAAGTCACTATATAAATAATATTACACTTTAATAGATTAAGTAGAATGATTTCACTTAGCCTACTTTTAAAGAGTACTTAGATTACATTATTGAATGTAGGTTGCAAAAACATGTGCCTACGACTATACGGTATGTCAATACACAACAACAAATCTATAGCTATGTTTTTTACTGTTGTTTACATTATATTACGGTTTAATGCCATTGGATGAAAAGGACTCAAAACTATTTTAGAGCAGTCTCAAGTCTGAAAATGTAGGCCTGAACAACAACAACACAACAATGGATACCGTAATTAAATTTAACACCATGAAGGCATACAGGCTTGTACAACTACAGTATGGTACACTCTCTACTTACTTATATTTTCTTACTTAGAAGAAACACCATTCCAAAATTAAATATTTTAGAAGATGTTTTGCGACGACGTGTCTACGACACAGTTCCGGTAGTTAACATACACGCTTGCTTCAACCGTAATTTGGATATTATGAGACAGGTGCACAACCAACCAGGTATCTGAAGGAAAATTGCTGCCAATGACAGTAGTGCCCTACCAGGCTAAACCTACAAATTATTAGTTCAGCGCTCACCCCTTATTAGCGTCCCCCCTCGAATTGGTCTATCACTGGGGCCGAAACGGTATCCGACCAGTTTGTCAAAATCCAGTTAGCCGAAACCCATTATTGCCGAATTAATGGCCTCTTTGCCGAAACCCAGTTTGCCGAATCCAGTTCACCGAAATCATGACAACCTAGTTTGCCGAAACCCAGTTTGCCGAATCATTCGCCACCATCGTACAAAAGTACAGCATACTGTGCTTTTGAAACATGATCAGGGAGGAACCATATTTACATTCCCGTATTTGTACCCATGTAAACGCTCCGCTTTGAATAGTAAACGCCCCTTCTAGAGCCTCATTTGGAATAAACGCCTCTTTCGAAAACATCCCGTGGTGTATATTTTTTTCTCGAATAAACTCCCACTTGACTGTAAACAGATCTAATGGAAATATCATTCCCAACACTTTCTACTAATGTTTTACTCCAGTAGAATTACATTTTAACAGTGGAATTAAGGGACATTTGAGTATATACAGTACGGTACGTATCCATTTTACACAAAAAGTAAATGCCTACCTCGAATAAACACCTCCCTCGAATAAACTCCCCCCTCAAAAACCATTCTCAACAATAAATGCCTCAGGGCGTTTATTCCACGGAATCGTCCGGGACCAAAAATGACAATTTGCCTAACCATATACGGTAACGTTATTTTGATTGTCAAATTCTAATACTGCGGTATAAACATCCACCCCCCCCCCCCCCCCAAAAAAAAAAACCAAAAAAAAACCCCCCCCCCCACCCCACTGATTTTTTTTCTTTTTTTTTTTTTTTTTTGGGACACTGACAGAGGCTCTAGTCAGCCCCTTGATTTGGGTGTATAATTATAGATTATTTATTTATTTATTTCATTTAGGTATACATATTACTATCGTAATTAAACTTTATACACTTATTATATATGTGCTTATAAGACATTTTATCTGACAGGCTTATTTAATTAATTCTTTTTGCTGATAGCTAAATTGTTAATCAAGTTTGATTTACAGAAGAAAAAAAAAACTAACCATTAAACTACAATAAGCAGTTATTTATTATACGAATACACAGAGATAGCATCGCACTTCACATTGGAAGGCTTCTAAATTCTCAATTTCGCAATTCTGGAATGTAATAGATAGTTTCTTTTTTGCCCAATAAATCATGTAAATTTTTTGAGAGTGGAAAAGAACAATTTCCAATTATGGATGAATAAATAGATATCTATGTCTATGCCCTTACTTTCCGCTGGCTCAACCAGTTCGTACAGACACAGTCACGGTAAAAGAGTGCTCCATCACGCATGTTATGCTGTTTTTAATGTTTCACTGCTTTTGATTGACTTTCGGCAAAATAAGATTTCGCAAAGTGGACTAGGCAATCTGGGATTTGGGAAACTGGATTTCGACATTATAGCGTAGATCCGACGAAACCTCACCACTAGGCCCTCCCACAGCACCAGTCGGCAGTGGCGGCGCCAGCGGGGTGGTCCCCCGCCGGACAGAGCCCGTCAGGCAGTCAGACCATAAAACATATAAAAATAGGCCCACAACAAGCCAACACATGTCTGTCACAGTCTGAGAGTGCCATTTTCGGCCATCTAGAGGTTGATATTCTTTAAAAATCTCATTTGGGAGGGGAACCCCCTCCCAACCGAACTTCCTCTCAAACTCTTCTCCCAGCTAAGGCCTATGAGCCCAAGTCGCTTCTGTCGGACGGCTCAGCACCCCCAGAAAATATATCCTAGAGCCACCACTGCCAGTCGGACGTAATGCAGTGACGGCGCCATAGATTTCCAGATATGAAGATCCAAATTTCTCGACATCCATGCCAGGAAATTTCACCTGAGTGTTCACTACGAAATTTTTCAATAGGAAGTCCAAGATCCCGTTTCCCTAGATCATCTATCCCTCACCTCCGCTGGTGGCGCCGACACTGATGTTTTCCGACTTCAATTATAAAGACCTTTTTTGAGGAAGTGTCCTTATATAGCATTTTCTTCTCACTGATTTGAGTAGACATACATTACATTATAAAGAGAGGAAAACAATAGAAATTTCACTCATAACTACTGGGATGGTTTTTGGCAGTGGTAGTTTTTACCATGTAGTTTATTCACTTTTTAATATATAAATTATTATTTTATAAATAAATTAGAAATACTGGGGGTGAATGATACATCAGAATAAAAAATACCAGGAGAGATCTGATCACTGATATTGTTGCAAAATAAATTAACAATTAAAGTTTGGTCATTTGGTTGTGACCCTAGTTGGTATATTGATAAGTGGATAATAATTGAAGTTAAATAAAGTACATAAAAAATCGGATGTTCCACTGTGTGTACTGCAGTTTAATCAATTATATTAAAATCTAAGTCCTATACTTGTTTAACCAACTTTTCATTAAAATATTACTAACATCACCATTCACATTATCATCATTCAAAATCCACAAAAACACATTAAAAACATCATTTTACGATGCGCATATATTTTTATCTTAAATCATATAACAAAATTTATTATAGAAAAAATTGAATTAGCAGCATCATTATTTATTTTATAGGGGTCTTTAATTGAAGTGAAATTTTTCAGCAGTGTCCATCAAAACCATGGTCTTTGGACTCTAAATAGAGGGAGTCAGCTTATGATAAAAGATAGGCTTTCAACTGAGGCAGCAGTCTTTAATTGGAGGTGGTCTTTAATTGGAGGGAGACCTGTATAAAAATTAAGACACGAATACTTTTCACACAAATGATGACAATTGCATGTTTTGCATAATATAGGCTACTACAGTTCTTTAATCTTTATGTATATTTCTCCTATACATAATACAAACCACGTTTTTTGTGTATAAATATATAAATGTACTAATTATTAACACAGTATTATTAAGTAATGTTTGATAAATTTTCCTGTGAAATAGAATAATTTTATCAAAAGTGCTGTCTATTATTATGTCAAATGTTTTATTTTATGGAATTGCTCATATATAAATCAGTAACATGTTGCGGAGAAAAGTAATTATCATGTAACAAGAAATTTAAAATCATGTACAGAGTAGTCATCATTTTACTGTACCACAATGGTGGAAAATAAAGGAATAATCTTCTAATCTATAACAAAAGCCAAAAAAATATATATTTGAAGTAATTAAACTGTTTGAAAAATACTAATAGAACAGATGGCTGCATACAAAAGTAGATTTATAGAAAACATTTTTATTTCTATTTTTTCTATCAGTAGCTATTAGACAGAGTTATGCTTTTCTAAGTCCTCTATTCGGTATTTTGTACTTTATTATTAAGGACGCCACTTGAAATGTTATGTTGATTGTCATGGATATGCAAATGTTTTACTGAACAATCAATCAATCAATCAATTACTTCACTCTGTACACAATAAATTTAATGTGCAAAGGTAAACTATTATTAAAGAATGCCTACCACTAAAATATTGATGTCTGTACATGAACAACTACTGTAATGTACTTGTAATAACTAATACAAGTAGATATGAAGGTAGAATATATTGACAGCTAATATAAAAAACATAAATATTTTATCAAACCACATACTTTTTTATAATATTAAAATTAGAAACATGGTTCTATTAATATTCAATATTTGTCTAATATGTACACCTCTTTAAAAGCCACTTTAATGATTACCAGAGAAACAATCAGGTATCAGAGGACACACAAATTACATGATTAAGAGTAAAGTTTATTGACAATTAAAAAACATTTAATATTTAATGATCTAAATATGTACACCTCATTGAAATATACTTTACTATAATTACGGAAGCAACCAGAGAGCAGATGCAGAGCACATCAAAGTCAATGTAGTCGCAGTAGTTATACCAATTTGATTTTACTACTGTTTTACAACATACTACTATATTCAATTATACTACTATTTTCCAATGTACTGCCATTTTCCGTTTTGTGATTCAAAATAATAGTTTAAATAAACGTTAAATGAGGGTTATAACAATTTAGGAGAAGACAGTTCAGAGAAATCTGGTTTAATATGCTTTCTTTAGACATTTATTGAATCTTGCAGCATGCAGAATAACCTACAGCCCCTGACTTCAATAGTACTGTAGAAAACACAGATAAACATAATGAATTTTTAGAAGATATGTTTACTTTGCAAATTTTTGTTTGCTCACAAGAGTGGGAGAAATGTGCCGACTTGCAAGAGATCAGGCAAAACAAAACACTTAAGTTAATATTAGACACAAGAGCTCAACCAACATTACTAAACAGTGTCAAAGTGATAACTGAGAGAAGCAAATTAATAAAAATGGTAGCTGTCAGCCATTTAAACTGGCTTACTTTTATTTAAATAATTTACATATAAACCTGAATTCCAAACTACAGTATATACATTTTGAAGACCATGAAATTATTCAAATATTACACAAATTTGTTATCGCTTTATGAAATACCTAACATAATTAAGACTGCCACCAAATAAGTTAAAGTTTAAGTTCAAGTTCAAATTTATTCACCGTTTAAAAAAAAAAAAAATCCATCGAGATACATATTTATAAATTGAATAAAAGCAAACGGTAGGGAATGACCAATAAGAGCAAGGCACGATGAGATGGCCACTCTAAGTGAGGTGCCCGAGAAAAAAAAAAAAGATGCCAGTGCACTCACAATATAGAAAATATACCAAAAGAAAAAAAAGGAAAAAAAAATCAGTGACATTGACTCAGACAAACAGAAAACCAGACAAACATGACGTGGACAGCATGTTGGCAATCTATCAAACAATAAAGTGTGTAGTATAGAGCAAATTACTTAGCAATTAAATATAACATAATTACTTATACAAGTATAACATAATTACAAATACAATTCAGGACTGGATATTAAAAGACTGTCCATTGTTGAATCTAGAAAACCCACAAACAATCAATTAAACAATAAATTGCTCATTTAAACAAGTCAAATAATTTACCAACTTACAATGGACCAATTGACAATGGACCGTTCTTGAGTGTCAATCAAACTTAACAGTTAACAACTGACCAATCAGAAAAAGGCCAAGAATGTGCATATGTCTCACAAGCTTATGTTGTCTCACATAATGCATATGTTTGAATATGTTTTTACACTGTCATTTTTTTACCTTAGCAACAATATCTAAGAAACGGTGCTTAGCAGAAAGTCCACCAGAATAACTTTTGCTGTTATAGACATTTTAATAACACACAAGTCGTTAGATTTATTACACCAGGCAATGTAAGAGTTATAATTAAAGAGTTCAATGAATTTGATTTTGATTTTCCTATTAAATGGAGGAAATAATATTTCATCACTTGAAATGATTTACTTAAGTATACAAAATAAGCAATTTAATTTTATTACCTAATTCAAAAACAGTATATATTCTAACATATTTTACAAATAAAGACAATGGTAATTAATTAATTAAAATTAATTAAGCTATACATCTTACTCTGAATGTCCATATATATCCTAATCTTGCCTGCACCGCAGACACTTTAAAATATCTTTACTTTCTTCAACACCAACGAGTACTTAATCACAAACAACACAGCACTGCTGTTGGGTAAGCATTTCATATTTACCTTGTCTTATATTTTACGATTGTTGCTCAATCAAGTCCTTGTTGTGCTAATCTTTTCTCTTAGAGAGCAGCTTGAGCACTTTGTTGAATTTGGCTCTATACCAATATTCAGCATTATTATAAAGATAACAATGCTTTTAAGCACTACTAATGTATTCCAATGCATTCTGTCGTATCTGCTTCTTCAACCTCTAAGAATCTGATATCAAGATGAATTTGACATCTCAATGGCAACCAAAGTCCATGTGGTATAAATCCATTTGCCTACAACTTTAACAAACGACCAGTAACCTCAAAATCTTTGCAGCGTTTCTCAGATGTTAATCAGCACAGACTGATTATATTTGACAATAATTGATGATGGAGTGAATTTTACGCTTTTAAGAACTTACAAATGCGTTTTAATGTCACATGAACTTCCTTAAATTGTGGTCTTTTTTCTGGTTCATACTCCCAGCACGACATCATTATGTGGTAAACTTCATCAGGGGTACCGTGCGGAGCTGACATGCGGTAACCTAAATGATTCAAAGAAAAAGATAAATCGTAAATTATTTCACATAAAAAAAAACCATTTTAAAGATATACACAAATACAATATTTATTAGCTTTTGATTAAATGAAATTTGTCATAGAAAACTTTATAATACTAATAAGGTAAAGATTTCTAAAGTATCTTTAGAGAACCTGAGTTGGCAACAGTAGCAGTGCATATTAAATAGAGCTTAGGCCTAAAAAAATATATATATATAACATTGGGTCATCCTCTAATTGGTGAATTCTGTGATATACATAATATAAATATGGATACACATACCCTGTTCAACTTTCTCTCGGGCAACATTGTTAGGAAATCCAGGATAGGGTGTGCTACCACGTGAAAATATCTCCCACAGTAAAATACCATAGCTCCATACATCACAGGCCGATGTGTAGGTTCCTAAAACACATAATAAAAAAAAATAAAAAAAATGTAAAATTTCCCACTAGGCTCAACATTGTTGTCACAATTATATATTTATTACAAATTTAACACAAAATAAAAAAAAAAAGAAAATTTTGTAAATAAACAATGGATAAAATGACCAGGTATGTAAAGAGTAGGGTGTTGGATCAGCCAACACCATGATTGTCCAGTCTTCCTCTTCCACTCCGCCAAGTCAAACATTTGGTTAATGATATACTATAGCTAGATGTTAGGAACATTTTAAACATGATCATGTGATCTGATTGACGTATTTCAATTTTAAGGTTAAGGTTCAATTCACTATCCTAAGGCCTGATTTATATGTACATCGATTTTGTGATTTGCCTGGAATTAAATAAATGAAATTGTAGTATTAAGAATAAACACATTTATGTTCACCATTGTTTGTCAAATCAAGTACATCCCATTTTAAGTTCTTTTTGAGCACAACTATTTATACAATACCAGCTTAACAGGCAAAAGTTTCATGAAACAAAACTGGAATAAGCAACATGCAGAAAAGACATAAATTCTCAACAATAATTTGATAATAATAATTTAATTTGTTTTTTGCATTTATACAGAAACAGATTATATAAAAGGCAAACAAAATTATAGATTTCAAAAAACAAAAGTACTTACTGTTTTTGGTGTGCTTTTAGTTTACTTAATAATAACTGTTACTGTAATTGTTTTTATGTATAATAAAACAAATGTTTTGTACTTTCACATCAAACAACAAGTACACTCACAAGTTACAGAATTTAATTATGTGATGGCTTTTACTACATCTCATTGTGAGGATTAGGGAATGGGGTTTTATCAGACTATGAAAAAAAAAACACCTTGGTGATTCACTTTGAACCCAGAACCCTTAAATTGGAAGGCATGCACCACCACCCACAAGGTCCACTTCATCCTAAAAGCATATTTTTAAAGTAAAGTGCTAGCTTAAACTAAATATTTAGATAATAAAGAAACATGCAATTGTAAAAATAAGTAGTATTGAATTAAAATCCATAGTGTGAATATTTAGTGAAAAAATTAAGATATCAAAGATGAAAACAAAAATTGTCATAATTATCATTTTTCTTATCATAGCAAACTTCCCAAACTTATGATCCAGGATGGAATGTTTAAAAATTATAATTATATGTTAAATGAAATTGAAAAAGAAATATTAATCAAGCTTCCATGATATTAAATATCTCACTGGTGGTCTAGTTATTGTGAATCATGAAAATCATGTGGTTAAATGAAAATTTAAATACTCAAATGTTATAAGTGTGTATATATAAATAAGAAAATATAAATAGAAACTATGGATTCCACTAAAAAGTTGGTCATAAGAAAATATGTACTTGAACCAACAAGATTTGAATAGCAAGATATCTGACTGTCAGGGTTTCTGTGAAATGGAATTGTATCTCGAAAAATTACTACCATGAACTACAGCGCATCCTTTAAAAAAGAAGATATACACGTAAACGTTGTTTGTATTGAACACGCACTAGAACGTAAAGAACATCTGTTCAAATTTCAAACTCTGTTCAAATTCTAATAGGGCGCCCCCTACCTTGTGGTTGTACTTTGTTTTTCGTTTCATTGCATGCATGCAGAATCAGTCGGACCTCTTGCTATTCAATACTCTTAGCTTAAACTCAGAAGAATATAACATAGGCAACCTTGATTCACACTGTATTGGTTTATAGTATACAAATATTGACTGCTCATGAGGGGAATTGTCAATATTTGTTTTATATACCTCATACATAGACTCTAAGAGGCCTAAAAAAACATAATAATGACAAGAGTACCCACCAAGTAGGCCTAGCCAAGGTGGTCAAAGGTTAATCTCGCTTGTCGTAAAGGTCAAGTCCCTTTTTTTTCGTCCGTGCATGTCATAATTACACAGCAACGTTTGTGGGGCCTAGAGATTACATCGCGACAGGACAAAAAAGTACTATAATTTCATGTGATAGTATTTTTTCCCTGGGAATTTATGAACTATCATTCAATAGTATGTCACAGGAGTGATGGTTGAAGTTATTACCCGCTTTTTGACCAATCAGATGCCTAGAATCTATGTATGCTGTATATAAATTGAAATACTAAAGTTACCAATTATACAAGCACAACAGCAGCTTCTGGACAATATAGCATAGATAGATAGATTGCAACATTTTCTTCATAGATTGTTTCATACTTTTTTTTATAAAAATATATGGTAAGTTTGCAAATGAATCTATATCCCAACATATAGCTGTATACCAAAGGACTAGAGTGTATGCAACGGTGAAATTGTAGTGCCAACATGGGATACAATTCACCATTAGCAAATCGCTCAAAAATTGTATGCATAAGCAATGACATGTGAGGAGACAGAAGCCAATTGCCAATTACCGTACCAACATAACATGCTATATGTATTATCACAGCATTCAAAGTTTGTTCATGATGACTGAATAAAAATTATAGACATGAAGATAACGCACCATGAATAGGTAAAGCAAGACTTTTTTAAAACCTTGTTTAACGCACCTGTTATGCGTCAATAATGATTATTCACAATTATAAAAACAATTAAATTCCAAGTACAATTGGGAATTTAGGGGAAAAAGTTTTTTTATTCCCTCAGAATCAAATAATTATAAATCATTTATCAGGTCAATAACTGGATTGTGTATTTTGACACATCGCATTCTTTAACATGACAACACAATGGGATCTTGAGCAAGTACCTAAAAGTGCTCTCTATTACCTTGTATCTCACCATACTCGCATTTTTTTAAAATTTATCAATAAAATTTCTAATGTTTAAATGATTTTGGCAAAAATATATTGATATATAAGAAAACTAAATATATATATTTTTTAACTCTGTTCTGAAGATATTTAAAAAAATTAAGTTCACTAAACAAGGTATTAAAAAAGCATTGACGAATGCATCTTCCAGCTCCTTTATATACAACTATATGTACGACGACCGCTTCCAAAATCAGATGCTTAGCCACTGTTTGCTTTGATCAGCCAAAAAAAATTGCTGAAATAAATTTAACATTTATACTACCATAGTTGAGGGCTTCGGGAGCAGTCCATTTTATTGGGACCTGCCTTGTGTCACCCATCGTGTAAATATTGTCATCATCCACTTCTCTCGACATTCCAAAATCACTTATCTTAGTTATTACGCTATTGTCACATTCTTTGATGTGGACTAGACAATTTCTTGCTGCTAAGTCTCTATCGAAATCAAAATGAAGTATCATATTTTTAATGGAAATGGTTACATATATTATTAGTAGTGGGTTCGGAAATGACACACTTTACAATATATAAACCTTCTGTCATGATCACCACAAAAAAGATAGTTGAAGAAATAGTTGTTTTAATCAACTATTGTAAATTATATTATAATATAAACAATAAAATTCATTTGTGAACAGAATACAGAATATGATGCAATGTGTGTCATAAGCCATTCCCTAATAACAATTAAAAAAAACCACTCAAACATGCAACTGCATGCAGTCTAGTAGCCTTGGGTTACCAGACACCTTACCATAGTTCATAGCCTCCGGTGCAGTCCATTTGATGGGGATTTGTCTCATAGAGCCTCCAACTGAATAGACCCCATCTTCCTCTTCACGTGACATACCAAAGTCACTGATTTTGACACAACTTTTGTCACCCACAAGGCAATTTCTGGCAGCTAAATCTCTAATGAAACGACAATAATAAAACTAAACAAATCCCACCTGTGCATTTTGATTCCCCACTGTAGAGTAAGATGAAGAAATTTATATATACATATATATACAGATGTCCCAAGATGGAAGAACCCACTTCCAGGAGATATAGTTAAATGAGCTTTCTTTAACACATCTAAATATTTTGCTGTGTGCAGTGATATCAGCTGACCTCCATTAGACTTATACAGTATTAAAACATGCAAATATCACAAATTTGAGGAAGACAGGATAGTATCCAGGCGATATTTGCTTGCTCGTGGTAGTTTGGAACGGGAGGCTATTCCAATTGCCGGGATCTCTCACAACTCACAGGAGATTTGGGCCCCTTGTATATATATATAGATATTTTTATTTTTTAAAGCAGAAAAAGAAAAAGCAGAAGGAACAAAAGAAAACCAATAATAGGAAAATAGAAAGAACAAAAGAAAGTATAAATTTAAAATAGAGAGAAAAGCAGAAAGAACAATATATGAAGGACAGGTATGGAAGGATGGAAAGAAAAATGACTGAAATTCAACAAATATTAAATTTATACATTAATCAAATTATTTTGTTTGTAGGTTTAAAAAAGGAGAAAACTGAGAAGCAGTAAAAGTGAACAAAACATTCTTAATATTTTTATATATAATTATTCTTAATTTATCTGAGATAAATTAATAGATATTTCCTAAAGGTATGAAAATGATTTAACATTTTGGTTGTGGGCTATTGTCTTTTCTAAATGTGAAAAATGCTGACTGAAAATGAACCCAGACTTTTGTATAGATTATCTCCTGTAGTAGAATTATTCTCTCTGTGAATCTTCAGGGCAATGTTCATAGTAGGTAATGAGGGCAGCAAACCGATGGTTACCTGTGAATACAATTCTTCTGCTCTAAATAGGCCATTCCTGCTGCAGCATTCTCACCCATTCGTAGCATCACCTTCTGGTTCAAGTCATTCTTATCAGACCGTAGATATGACAGTAAATCACCACCTAAATTAGAGATAAAATTATTGGTTGTATTCAAGAGCATTTATTTATAGTTCAGTTTTATTTTATATTAAGTTGGAAATTATTACCATTTGATTGGTACTAAGTGTACAATTAAATCCATTAACTACTCTTACTTCAAACAACTTTATTACAAATAGCAATTTATCAGGTGAAGCTTAGTATCAGGATTTAGTATGAGCAGATTTTTTAAATATCTAGTTTTTAGGTGACCTGATTTTAGCATCACAGATGATGGAAAGTAGCTACAATAAGACAAAAATATTTAGCCAATATTATACTATTTTAAAAATGTATTTTTAGTAATAAATCATGATATACTCAAAGCTAGGACTGAAACATATCAGAATCACTTCACAGCCTGTCAACAGTGCAAGCTGGATTATCTAAGGATGGCCAGCTGAGAATGGTCAGCGTGTGGTTTGAACTCCCGTCAAGGCTTAGAACCTCAATGGAAAACGCTGTAGCAAACCCTTTATAATCATCAGAAAATTCCGCAGCATTTTACTGACATTGAATTCAGATTTTCTTTTTTATCTGTAGTCAGCTTTTTGACGATAACATTGTGGTTTGGTGTATTTTTTTTTTTTTTTTAAATATTAACATCAATTGCCTTTTTAAACCTTGATTGTATGTATATCTCATTGTATTGAAGGTCGATATGGAAAGCAGTGCTTACATTGAATCAGAGTTTACCCTCGTTGTTGAAGATGTCAATAAATAAATTACCTGAAACAAGCTCCATGACTATGTAGATTGGATGTCGGTCAGTACACACACCAATTAGTTTTACAATGTTCTGGTGATCATATTGCTTCAGGATTTTGGCTTCCATCAGGAACTTCCGTCGTGAATCTGCATCAACCGTCTCTTTACATGTTTTGACAGCAACAGGAAATCCATTTTTCTTCAAGACACCACGAACAACATCCCCAAAATGACCCTTGAAGGAAAAAAAAACACAATATTAAACATCTACTGAATTTTTCAAAACAGTAATAAAGACCCATTAATCAATCTATCAATGTATTGTCACCAAGCTAAATATTTAATAGCAAAACATAGTGGATGAGCTCCACAGGGTCAACGACCAACCATGCATTTGAAAAGTAAGATGAGTAGGATAGAATAAGGATATATTTGTGGTATTTTGATTTGCAAAAGGACAGTTATTGTAAAGTGCCTTGAGGAACCAGTGATGTATGTAGGACTATTAAACGTGGTAAAAATATATTATCATTATTAACATTATCAATTGTGATTAAACAAAAAGTTAATAATTGTAAAAAAAATATATATAAGCAAATCTTACTGCTCCTAATTTATCTCCCAGTTCAATGTCCTCATGTCGTAGGTCATGTTCATCCCTGACCCGCATGACCCCATTCTTCAAAACTGCTTGTGATGCTTTAGTTACAGGGTTACCAGATTCCAATTGGCTGTAGATTAAATAAGGCACACTCTTGTAAGCTTCTCCCTCCAAACGATATAGCTTCTGTAAGATCAAAATGTATATACTTCAAAATAAAAACAAAAAAATTTAAAGTCAAAACAAATAATTACAGTTGCTGATACATTATAGGATTATATATTTCTTTCCCATATTGTTTTATAGTACTGTAATGCTGATATTTGCAGTCTTCATTAAAACTCAATGGAATAAGACATACCAATGAATAGCCATGTACTATTTTTTTAAATTTATTTTCTTAACAGTTGATCAGATGGCATTGTTGTGAATGGACGCATGCGCTGCATAGCTCCCAATTTAGCATAATAATGAGCCAGAAACCAAAAAGAACCGCTTCGAAGCAGCCTGTCGGTGAAGACGATGATTTTGAATCCTTCGTTAAGCAGTCACTAGAGAAATTGATTAACGGACAGAAAGCTGTTGAACATAAAAGATGTGTATAAGAGACAGTAGCCTCCGGTGCAGTCCATTTGATGGGGATTTGTCTCATAGAGCCTCCAACTGAATAGACCCCATCTTCCTCTTCACGTGACATACCAAAGTCACTGATTTTGACACAACTTTTGTCACCCACAAGGCAATTTCTGGCAGCTAAATCTCTAATGAAACGACAATAATAAAACTAAACAAATCCCACCTGTGCATTTTGATTCCCCACTGTAGAGTAAGATGAAGAAATTTATATATACATATATATACAGATGTCCCAAGATGGAAGAACCCACTTCCAGGAGATATAGTTAAATGAGCTTTCTTTAACACATCTAAATATTTTGCTGTGTGCAGTGATATCAGCTGACCTCCATTAGACTTATACAGTATTAAAACATGCAAATATCACAAATTTGAGGAAGACAGGATAGTATCCAGGCGATATTTGCTTGCTCGTGGTAGTTTGGAACGGGAGGCTATTCCAATTGCCGGGATCTCTCACAACTCACAGGAGATTTGGGCCCCTTGTATATATATATAGATATTTTTATTTTTTAAAGCAGAAAAAGAAAAAGCAGAAGGAACAAAAGAAAACCAATAATAGGAAAATAGAAAGAACAAAAGAAAGTATAAATTTAAAATAGAGAGAAAAGCAGAAAGAACAATATATGAAGGACAGGTATGGAAGATACCTAGACCAGAGGCTTCAATATGTCCTTCGTAATGACCTCAGTTGTATTATTTCTTCTGATTCTGAATCCCTTTTTATTGAAATTAATGCAAAACCTAAAAACTTTATCCTAGGTGTAATCTACCGTCTACCTCAGCTTCCTTTAGGTTTATTTAATACGGAGGTCTCTAGTATTCTTGATACCATTAATAAAGAAAATAAAATTGCTTACTTATGTGGTGACTTCAACATAGATTTACTAAAATGCAATTCACACACTATAACTAGTGAATTCCTTAGTACTATGTTTAATTCTAATTTTTATCGATTAATAAACAGGCCCACAAGAATTACCAAAACGACAGCTACACTAATTGATAATATTTTTTGTAATGATATTAAATTTAAAATTTCGCCTGGTATACTGAACTCAGATATTTCTGATCATTTTCCTGTTTTTTCCATTACTCATTCTACAGTTTCCTTTACCTTAAATGAAAACAACTCTAAGTATATTTATTTGCAGAAAATTAATGATAACACACTAGCTGCCCTAAATGAGGATCTCCTCAACACTGATTGGTCTGACATTTATTCTATCAATTTTGATCCTAATCTTGCTTATGAATTGTTTCATGACAAACTTAAGTATATGATAAATAAAAATATTAAAACATACCGTTATAGGCGCAAATTTCGTAGAGACCGCAAACCGTGGATCACCAATGCTATTATTAAATCTATTGTCACCAGAAATAAGTTATATAAAAAATATATCAAAACTGGTAAAGACTCTGATAAAATCAAATATTCAAAATATCGTAATAAATTGACTAACCTTATTCGTATCTCCGCATCTAATTATTATAAAAATAAATTTAACCAATATAAATCTAATCTTAAAAAGACCTGGCAAACTATTAATTCTGTCCTTGGTAAGAAGACTAAAATTTCTCTGCCTTCATACTTTAATCATAATAATTGCAAAATATCCGATCCTTTTACTATTTCTAATAACTTTAATGATTACTTTACTAATATTGGGTCAACCCTTGCAAATAGTATTGTCAAACCAATTGGAGTGGAAACTTACAATTCATTTCTTCCAGTGCCCATTAAGGACTCTTTTTTTCTCAATCCAATTTCCGTTAATGAAATTAATGACCTTATTTATAATTTAAAAGAAAACAAAAGTTCTGGCTATGATGGATTTTCAAATTCTATTATTAAAAATATTTCAAATTCTATTTCAGGTCCTCTCTGCCATATTTTTAATTCTTCATTTATTAATAGTATTTTTCCTGATTCCCTCAAGATTGCCAAAGTAGTTCCAATTCTCAAAAAAGATGACCCTCATTATTTCGAAAACTACAGACCCATATCCTTGTTACCTTGTTTTTCGAAAAATTTTTAACGCTTGATTCACTCCAGATTAAATAATTTTTTAAATAAACACGATATTTTTAATCCAAACCAATATGGATTTAGAAAGGGATTTTCAACTGACCTAGCTTTATTAGATATTTATGACAAAATAACAAAAGCGATCAATAATAAGGAATATACTGTTGGAATTTTTCTTGATCTTAGCAAGGCCTTTGATACCATTGATCACAATATACTTATAAATAAACTCGAAAACTATGGTATCAGAGGCCTTGCTCTTCAGTTCATTAAAAATTACCTTTCCGATAGACGTCAATTTACCTCCATTAATTCAACAAAATCTAATATTTCTCGCATTAAATGTGGTGTTCCCCAAGGCTCCATTTTAGGTCCTTTGTTATTTTTAATTTATGTTAATGATATTTCAAATTCCTCCAAACTTTTTCAATTTGTTTTGTTTGCCGATGATACAAATATTTTCTTTTCTCATAAAGATAGACAAAACTTGTTCACAACTTTAAATTCTGAGATGATTAAAGTTTCAAATTGGTTTAAGCTTAATAAATTATCATTAAATATCACAAAAACGAATTATATTGTATTTAATGTAAAAAATGAAAACATACCGTTTGGTAATCTATATATTGATAATCGTCTGATTTCTCGAGTCAACGAAACTAAATTCCTTGGTGTCACTATTGATTCTAATTTAACTTGGAAACCACACCTAAATATAATCACTAACATTGTTTCTAGAAATATCGGTATTATTAATAAACTTAAAGATTTTTTTCCATCTAATATTCTTTTGTCTTTATATAACACCTTAATTTTACCCTACCTATCTTATTGTAATATCACATGGGCTGTTACACTCGAAAAATTTAATACACTCTGCCCATGGAAAAGTACTGAGTCAACTCACCTTGATCATATTTTTAATTTACAAAAAAAAATTGTTAGAATTTGTTCAAGTGCCCCATTTAATTCGCACTCTAAGCATTTATTCATACACTGTAATATTCTTAATATTTATGACTTAAATAAACTCGTTACTGCTACATTTATGTATCGTCTTTCTAAAGGTTTTATTCCATCCCACATAAGTTCCTTATTTATTAACGTATCTGAGATACATTCACATAATACAAGATTTTCTGAAACAAATTTTATTCCCGATTCATCATTTGCTAAACTAAGGCGTACTTCGGTCTTTTATAACGGCCCTAAACTTTGGAAAAATATACCTTCTGATTTTAAAAATAAACCCTCTCTCTTTAGTTTCAAACGCAATTATAAAAGACATCTGGTCTCGGTATATGGCGAACAGTAGTTCAGCAATCATTAGCTATACTATTAGTTACACTTTAATATCTGGATTTTCTGTTTTCTTCGACTTCTTAAATAATTTTTGCTTGTTTAGATTGATTGTTTTTAATTTTTCCCTAATTTTTATTTTGTGTTTGCCCGGTTTTCTTCTTCACATTTACTTATAAATTACTTTGTCCATCTGATTTTTAGGCGACCATGACTTAAAGTTCTCGAACTTATTTTGGTCGCCTTCCACACAAATAATTTACTTTTATGTATTATAGTACAACGTATTTATTGGCTTTATCATGATTATGTTGTATTGTGTGGAAAATGAACAATAAACAAACAAACAAACAAACATCCAACAGCAAGTACACTCACCACTTATAGAATGAAACAATGCTTTATAAACTAAGTTCTTTTAAGTCTTGAGACAAAGTCCTGCTGTGACAGGAATTGCACCCAGGACTCTAAAATTGATGACAATAATAATAATAATAAGGTAAGAACTTATATAGCGCCATTTAAAAAACCGAAGTAATTATCAGTGGTGCTTCATGTTATTGTTGGAATAAGTGCGTTTTGAGTGATTTTTTAAAGCAATTGATGTTGATTTTTTAATGTGAAGTGGTAGTGCGTTCCAGAGTGTGGCTGCAGCAAATGAAAATGATCTGTGTCCGAAGGTCTTAGTGTTGGTGCGAGGGACAGAAATTAAATTGAGATCA